GAATATATCAAATTTGAAAATGTCAGGTCATCTTTTGTCATGCATTCAAGTTAAGAAATTCAAAGACAAGCCACAGACAGGAAGAAAGTGTTGGCAATATCCCTAACAGCTAAAGGATTAACATCCAAAATAAATGGACAACTCTCAACACAAGGCAAAGAATTTAAGCAGGTTATTGATGTAAGAGGAAATAGAAATTGCCCATAATGTTGGAAAATGTACACAGCTCACTAGCAAATCAGGCAACACCAAATTAGAGCAGAGATACAATGGTTGCATCAAATTGACAAAAATTAAAATGTTTCTTAATAGTGTTGGTGGGGATTGAGGAAACAGTTCCTCTCACACAAGACTGGCAAAGCTATAAAATGACACAACCATTAACTAAAATTTAGGATATATATAGCCTTCAATCAGCAACTGTACTTCTCAAAATTTACCTCAGGGACGCCTGACCCATATACTCAGAGAGAGATATATAAGACGAAGTATTACTCCAAAAGTACAAGATTGTTTTCCTGTAGCCCCAAACTAGAAACAAATACCAAGAGTCCCCCAATGAGACTATTTTATTGTTAAATAAAATTTGGTCATCCATTCCCTGGGCCTCTCAGGTGACACAGTGGCAAAGAATCCAGCTGCCAATGCAGGAGACGCAAGAGACTAAGGTTCAATCTTTGGGTCAGGAACATCCCCTGGAGTAGGGAATGCCAACCCACTCCAGTACCGTTGTCTGGAACATTCCCTGGACAGAGGAGCCTGGTGTGTTACAGTCTATGGGGTTGCAGAAAGCTGGACATGACTGAGTGACTAAACACACAGCCATTCCATGGGATGTTATAGAGGTACAAAAAAAAAATAAAGTGGATACACATGTACTTACATGAAAAATTCTGTAAGACATACTGTAAAGTGAAAATCAAGTTTGTGGAAAAGTAAAAATAGAATGATGTTATTTAGGATACAGATGGATATAAACAAAACAAAATATTTCCATAGTTAATACACACACACAAATTCATTAAAGAGAGCCTGGAAAGATACCATGAGGCTGTTACCAGCAGTTGACTTCAGGCTGCACTGCACAGTTGGTGAGATTTTAGTTGCCTGTTCAGGGATCAAACCCGGGTCCTCGGCAGTGAGAGCACAGAGTCTTATCCACTGGACCACCAGGCAAGTCCCACCAGCAGTTGACTTTGGACAAGGCTAGGACTGTGGTCAAAGGTGGGGAGGAGTCGAGGACATCAACATTGCTCTACTCTCTTACAAAAAGAACCTATTAATATTTGCAGGTTAGCCACAAAAACAAAAATAAATATCTGTAACAGAAAAAGCTCAAGTAGTAGAAATTCTTCCTTTAAAACGTGTATCTCTCCTCCTCTTCCTTTAATTCTGTGGTCCTCTTTCCCGTTCCCCAAGCTCCTGTTTTAAGGATACAGGAAGAGTTTACTAAACTATATTGAACTTCTTGGAACTGAACTGGTAGTGACTAGTTTTATTTTTATACCAATCTTGGCCCAGGAGTAGGGCCTCAGGTTGCAAGGCAGAGGTCTATTTTGTTTCATATTCTAACAGGCCATGTTTGGGTTCACCTTTTACATGAACCCTCCTTTTCTTCTCTGGCTCCAATACAGATTCTTCTTGTAGTTCACATGTTTTTCATGGGTAACCCTTCCTACATTGGTTTCTGGTCCTAACATGACATAGCTCCAAAGAAAAGTCATAATTTAATGCGGGCAACCTCTTCCATACTCAGCCTGTACAAGAGTCCCTTCTCACTCATGATCACAAATAAACCGATGCTCTTTACATGACACGCACTGACATAAAAAAAAAACCCATGCTTAAGATAGTCATATTCAGAAACTCATTTCTGCTAATTACAGTCAATAAAATTTACAGAGCCAACATTAAAATGGAAAGAATGATTAGGATAAGCCCAGAGCTGGTACCAAGTATGAACATTTCCCTGAAGATGATGTTCATATTTATCTGCTTCCCACCAAACCCCAAACATGCCTTCAATGTTTCATCAGAAGCACATTTCTGCTACCTAAAAGTTACTTGCCAGCTCTGGTTTTCAAGTTCTTCAATCTGTTATCTGGGTTATCAATCTTCTTTGCCACCTATCAATTCTATGGTGGCAAACCAAAGGCTGCGTTACAGGACACGTGTCAAGGTGCACAGAGAGCAAAACCAGTGGCTTCAGATCAGTTGGTCCACAGTCCAGTGTGGCCAGGACAGGAGAGAGGACCTGGATAAGAACCCATCAAGTGTGAGGATTCTCCTCCAGGGCTATAAAAAGAAAATCCTATAAAAATATTCTTTACTTCTTAAGCCACTCAGCTCACTTCTGAGCAGACTAGGCTTCAACTGATCACTAATCAAAGAGTTTCATAAAACAGGGAGCTCAGCTGGTGCTCAGTGATAACTTAGGGGGATGAGGGAGGTGGGAGGGGGCTCCGGAGGGAGGGGTCTCTGTATACTTAGAGGTGAGTCACACTGTTGTGGAACAGAAACCAATACAACATTGTAAGCAATTATCCTCCAATTAAAAATAAATAAAAATTAAAAAAAAAAAAGGACTTTGGCACAGGCTTCATGGACCAAGGAGAAACACAAACAAAGATGAAAGAAGAAGCTCCAGCGAGAAGAGGGGAATCATACAGATACCAAAGCAAGCTTTCAAGCAGAGGCGAGGAGAGAATCATGGGATAAACTTTTAAAAGTATCATATTTTTTCTCTGAGATGTAAAAACTCTGTAGTACATGTGATAGATTCACATCACCAAGACTAATTGTCAATTAAAATTTTAAAGAAAGTGGGCCTCTAAGTAATATCATGATTGCAACATTCAGCCCATCCCTTCAAATAATGTTATGCAAAAACATGGACTTAAAGCTTGCTTGCCACCGCTCACCTGTGAGCACCGTCTCTGCTCACATGCGTTTAAGCTGCTAATACATCACTCACAGGGGTCCATCTCCTAGAAGTGGATTCATCACTCTCTCTGGCTCTAGAACTGGGCTTAAAGCCAGACGAAGATTACAAACTTGGAATCATGTAGTTTCATTTTTTTCTTAAATTACCTCATCTTTTAGATATTAATATATGATCATTAAAAAAACAAACCTCCAAACTCTGATATATGACTGATGGTTGACTTAGAAAGTGAAAAATGAAACTACCATCTCTTGGCTAGAACTGAAAGATTGATACTCATGAAAAGAAAGTAATAAAAAGACAGAAGTATTGCTACCACAACATCTATTTCATCTGGTCATAAACTGCATTACAACCAAGAGAAAATGGTCTGTATTCAAAAACTGAGTTTTTTTCCCTACATTTGAAAATAAGCATGAGTCAAAATACTGGGTTCATGGAACAAGATATGTACATCAAAGAGCCTCTGGTCCTAAACACTTTCTCTTTCTCAAGCAAAGAAATATTTATGATTGATTTTAAAGAGGAGCTTAACTGAATTGCTATGAATTATTTAAAATCCCCAAAATATCTTCTGCTGCTTTTATAGAAGCTTGATTTACAAGCTGAAAAATCAAACTGACAGTCCAGTCTCTTGTACAAATATCCAACTTTAAAAATGCTCTAGGCATTATAAATGTATCTTTCATGAATATAGCTTCAACAGCTCTAAAAATAGCTTTTAGGAGGGAAAAAAAAAAAAAGAACCCTTTCAAGCCATTGTTTTATACATAACAGCAGGAAACCAAACAGAATGTCAAACTCAAAGTGATTAACACACCCAGTAACAAACATGAACAGCTAGTATGAAATCTTACCCAAGCGTGATTTTTGACATTAGCTTGGGGTCTATGTCTGTGGCCCCATGTCTACTGCCAGAGGTAACTATAGGGCACCCATAACCAGAAAGCAACTCCAGGACAACAAAGGTAAAATCTGTCCTTTGGAAGACGTGTTAAAGAGACACATCCAGGACTGACCTGGGGGCCATATATTCCTTTCCAGACCAAGAATTTCCCCCAGAATCCACCTGGGCCCCCAACGAGCCTCTGTACAGAGCAGTCTCTGTACCATTACTCACTGATGAAGCCAGGGTCACCCCCAAAGGCAGAAAGCTAGGCTGATAGCCAGTAACCCTGGATATAGAGGAGGAACACCAGGATGTGAAAAGGTTAACAGTGCTTCACAATTTGGTCCAGGTATTTTATCATTTCAGTATCACTTTGGCACTCTCAATAAAACCTGCCCCATCTTTCCAAATATCAGAACTTACAGGACCAAAATATTCTGTGGTTGGTAGCCTTGGAGGTTCGAGTGCAGAACCATAGCATTGTCTATTGAAGTAATAACCACTTTCTATGAATATTTTGGTCTAACTGCCTGTTAAACTCCAAATAAATTTTATGATCTGGAGACATCCTACTTTTTAATAATGCAATATGGAATCAGCTCAATTGGTTCCATAATAAATGAGATTCTAACTTTATGATATGGTGGACAGAAAGCTAAAATAGGAAAAAATTCCTGAAAATGGGAAGATATAGTCTAAAGGAATTTTATTCCTGATTTTCTAATGTGAACCAATTATCAAGGCCAAATTCCTACTGAGGCTGAGAGAACCCTGATAAGCAACAAAGGGCAGAAGGAAGAGAAGGGGAAAGTCACAGTTACAGTCATAGGGTCACAGGAGTTTTTTCATCCATTTTCTTCATTCCCTATGGATAGAGCTGGGGGGAGACTTACAGCAGTAATACCAGCTAACTTCCTCTACAACAAATGCAATTCACAGTTCCATGCTTTTGTCCTGAAAAGTGCCAAATGTTCTAGGATTTAGCACATCTAATACTTCAGGCTACAGTCCTTGGAAACTCTCCAGACATTTCCATTTTAGGCATTCTTTTTAAGTAGAATCTTTAAATAAATTACAAAGAGTTATCCATGAAACAAATAGAAACCTGAATACTTCGCAAATCAACAACTCACTGGAAAATGTAAAGAGACATATCTTACTTCTTACCTTGTTTTGGTCTGTCCAGTAAAAGAAAAATCCCTGAGGGTCAGTCCTCAAAATAATTGGAGTGACAATAGTGGAGTCCTAGAAGTGTAAGAAAACACGTGTATATCAACATGTGCCACAGTAGAAAGTCAAGTCTTACCTGGGAATGACTTAACAAGTTAATAATTAAGAGTTTCTCCAAGATCATCAGTTATTAGTAAAACTTTCAAAAAACTAAACATGATATCTTTAACATCATAGGATTATTAATTATATAACTGGAGATGCTCTACTCATAATTAGAATATTATTTAAAAAGGAAAAGGTCATTGATGCGTGTATTTATTGAATTGAGGTACGTTTTTAAAGGCATTGGCATGGTTTCTATTAAAAAGCTATATTTAGTTTTTCAAATATAACACTAAACATTACATACTTTATATGATTAAAATTAATTAAAATCCATGCTTGAGGATATTATTTTAAATTACATTTGCTCTATAAAATCATCTTAATTGTACCAAAAAGAGTTAACACAGCATTTAGGTATTGCTATTTCCAAGGTAACAGTAAATAAGGCCATCTTCTACATATTCAGAAAGCTATACACAAAATTGTTTCAAATTTAAATTTCACACAATAAAACATCATAGACAGTCTTCTGAGTTTAAAGCATACATATTACAAAGCAAAAACTGCCTGCATTGTAATTACAATATTTAACATTTCTAAAATATGTGTTCTTTTCTTTTGGCAATTTTCAGAGGCATACCATCTGCACAAAAAAACACATGTCACTGGATATAGATTTTTATACTGAAACACTGAGGTCTTTGCAGGGATTGCATTTTTTGTAAAGAGACATAAATAACCAGCTTATTTCAATTTTTTCATACACATTATAACTGTGGTATGTCATATCCTCTTGATCAAAAAGATCTGTAGTAAATTTAGAACTTGCAGAGATAATTTTGGAATTTGGGGTTATCTTCCTGATTGGTAAAGCGGATCTAAGGCTTTGTGCACATGGTAAGCTTTACTCAAAGAGTCAGGTCAACTCATAACTGGAGGCCAACCCCTCGGGCTCAAACCACTGTCTGTGCCCCCCGTGCCTCAGTTTACACAACAATAACTGGGGAAAAAATAAGATAATAATCATACCTCCCTCAGAGTTTTTTAGTTAGAATTAAATAGGGTAAATTGGGTAAAGCACCTTGACCAATTCTTGGCACATAAAAATATTTTTTATTATTGTAGTAGATTATTGTAGTAACTTTTAAAAGTTTAATTATTAAAATATTAAATGATTATCACAGTATTCTTTTTATTGGGATAAATATATACATATATATAATATAAAATTCACCATTTTTAAGTGTAAGTTTCATTAAGTTCCTTAAGCAAAGTACTTAATGTACTTTCACACTGCTATGCAACCATGACCACCACCCATCCCCAGAACTTTTTCATCTTCCCAAACTCAAACTCCACACTCAATAAACACTAACTCACCATTCCCTCCTTGCCCAAGGCCCTGACAATCACCATTTCTGTATCTATGAATCAGACTACTCTTTGATAACTCATATAAGTAGACTAGTGGGCTACAGTCTATGGGGTTGCAGAGAGTTGGACACAACTAAGCAACTAACACACACACATAAGTAGAATCATAGATGTATTTTTCCTTTTGTATCTGGTCAATTTCATTCAGTATAATGTGCTCAAGCTTCATCCATGCCACAGTAGGTGTAAAAATGCCCTTCCTTTTTAAGACTGAATAATATTCAATTATATGTATATATCATTTTTATTCACCCATCCATGGATGGACATTTGTGTTGTTTCCAACCTTCTCTTGTTGTGAACTATGCTGCTATGAAAATGGAATACAAATAACCGTTTGCATCCCTGCTTTTAATTCTTTTCCAAATATACTCAGAAATGGAATAACTGGATCATATGATAGTTCTATATTTAATTTTCTGAGGAACTGCCATTATGTTTTATCCTGATATTCTTAAGATTCATGCTTAATGCACAATCTGAAAATATCCTTTACAAGCCTTGTGCTGCTGCATAGAACTTCAGCTGGAATTTTAAAATTCCAAAATTATTTCTAAATGTAAAAAAAAAGACATATGGAAACAAATTTTATATTATAATGGGGGCTTCCCTGGTGGCTTAGAGGGTAAAGAATCTGCCCGCAATGCAGGAGACTTGGGTTCAACCCCTGGGTTGGGAAGATTCCCTGGAGGAGGGCATGATATTATAATGAAAGAATAATTTTTAAAACATTTGAGGCTTCTCCTATGAGATTACACGCATAAAAGTTCAGAGCAATATTTCCAATAAATCATAGCAACATTTTTAGTTCCATTATATCACCTACTCTTCCAGAGTTGGGCAAAATAAAAGTTTCCATCAGGCTTCACAGAACATACAACCCCATTTCCAGGTAAATTTGCAATTAACCTGTAGATGTAACTTGTCATTCTCATGACAGTTCCTTTTCTTATGAGTGTCTGACAAGAGTATCTGATAAGATTCTAATCAAAATCTTGGTGATAGTTCGCTGCCAGGATCCCTGACAATCCAATACTTAAAAGTTAGCAAAATAAAACTGCTCAAATTTGTATGCTGGAACATTGCGTTAGGCTGCCTCAGTGCTTCTGATACTGCTATTTCTAGCTTATTCCTTCTCCTCCTCCAAAATTAAAGATCCTTTTTTCAATAATTTTTGACCCCACTCTTCCTGCCACAGTTCTTTTTCTAGATGATCATTTATCTCGGCTCCCTGCCAACTTCCTCCATAATCACCTCTAACATTACAAGATCAGCTGGGACTTGGCATTCTTGCCATGCAAAGTAGGATCTAACCCAGAAATACATGAATATCCATTTTAAATTCCACCTGCTTTTTTCCCACCTCCCACACAGCACCAAGTGTCTATTTTTCTCCCCCCACTGAGGTAGCCACTCAACCCAAACCTCAAGTACTCCTTTCTTAAATTAACTTTTATTGGTGCACAGTTGCTTTAGAATGCTGTGTTAGTTTCTACTGTATAGCAAGATGAATCAGCCGCATGGACATACATGTGTGCTCAGCCACTCGGTCATGTCTGACTCTTTGCAACCTCATGGACTGCAGCCCTTTAGGCTCCTCTGCCCGTGGAATTTTCCAGGCAAGGATACTGGAGTGGATTGCCATTTCCTCCTACAAGGGATCTTCCCGACCAAGGGATCAAACCTAGGTCTCCAGCATCTTCTGCATTGCAGACAGATTCTTTACCACTGAGGCACCTGGGAAGTCAATGCATACATATAACCCTCCCCTCTGGATTCCCTTCCCATTCAGGTCAACACAATACATTAAAGAGTTCCCTGTGCCATGGAATGTGGAGCCATTTCTCCAGAGAAGACATATAGATGGCCAATGAACACATGAAAAGATGCTCAACACTGCTCATTGTTAGAGAAATGGAAACCAAAACTAAGATATCACCTTACCCTGATCAGAACGGCCATCATCAAAATGTCTACAAACAATAAGTGCTGGAGAGAGTATGGAGAAAATGGAACCCTCCTGCACTGTTGGTGGGAGTATAAATTGATACAGCCACCATGGAAAACAGTATGGAAGTTCCTTTAAAAATTAAAAACAGAACTATCATATGACCCAGTGATCCCATTACTGGACTTATACCCAGAGAAAAGCATAAATTCAAAAAGACACATGCATCCCAATGTTCATAACATCACTATTTACAATAGCCAATTTAGGAAGCAACCTAAATGTCTATAAACATTTAGGAAGCAACCTAGACATTTAGGAAGACAACCTAAATGTCTAGCAATAGAGGAACGGATAAAGAAGTTGTGGTACATATATACAATGGAACATTACTCAGCCATGAAATAGAATGAAATCGTGTCATTTGTAGAGATGTGGATGAACCGGGAGAGTGTCATACAGAGTGAAGGAAGTCAGAAAGAGAAAAATAAATATTGTATATTAATGCATATATACATTAGAAGAATCTACATGGAATCTAGAAGAAATGGTATAGATGATCTTATTGGCAAAGCAGAAATAGAGACACCAGATGAAAAGATCAAATATCCTTAATTGTCAGAATATCTGCTCTAGTTTGAAGTTTGAAATACATGGCCATCCTTCATTTCCAAGGCAACTGCAGCATTTCACTGCAGAATAATGGAGATAACTCTCATATGGCCTAGTTTTTATTCTTTCTCTCTCCATCAATATCTATAATATGTTTATTCCATAGGACAGTGGTTTTCAATTTTTTGGTGCATCAGATTTACAGGGGGGACTTGTTAAAACACAGACTCCTGAGCCCTTTCTCTGAAGTTTCTCATTTAGGAGATATTCTCAAACTGGAATAGAGTTTGAGAATCTGCATTTCAATTAAAGTTTTCAGTGATGTCAGGAATACAATGATGCAAATGCCAAGAAACACCAGTAAGCTTAAAATGTAGAGGTCCCTGTATCTTGTAAGTAAATGGCTTATATCTAGGAATTCAACTTTAATTTGCTTATTTAAAGTTATAAGGTTTTTCTTCCAATAAACTGCCTCCTTGAAAAGAAGAACATTAATAAAAACACTGTCTTAAGTTAGTAATTGTGGATAATGTACAGTAAACTTCTATGTACCTCTCTTTTCTTCATAGAAACCATTTCACTCTCAACCCTATCACCTCAAAAGTGAAATGTACTATAATGATATAAGAAGCTACTGTTTTGCTATTTACCTGAGTTCCCAGAAAAGATTTTAGGTCAAATGGAAGACAGTCAAGGAACAAAGTAAAAGGCCTCCATAAAAACCTCAATATGAAAAAAAAAAATTAAAGATAGTACAGCAAGAAAAAGTCACTAGAATAAATATTAAAATCAACAAATTCCTATGACATCTTTATTTGCTCATGACTTGCTCATCAATGTGCTGATATAAGGGCTTCTCAAGTGGCTCAGCGGTAAAGAATCCACCTCCCAAAGCAGGAGACATGGGTTCAATCCCTGGTTTGGGAAGATCTCCTAGAGAAGGAAACGGCAACCCACTCCAGTACTCTTTCTT